TCGGTTACAGAGAAAACTACTGCAAGATAACAGCAGAATGTCCCTGCGCTGATATTAATGTAATCATGGGTCCTCAAAAGGACGAGAAGGTCACTGCAAAGTTTCTATTAACACAGCTAGACCCACCAAGTCGAGATCACTGTTAAACTGTGATATAACATAATTACAGATTTGGGTCTCACATGACGTTTGAGGAGCTGGGCATCTTGGTAGTACTTTATCCCAAAAGCGAACAGAGGAACAGCACAGACGACCACCCAAGTCCACATCCCCCTGCAGATCCTGGATCTCGAGCCCTGGCTCTGCTTCCCATTCTGCGGCGCAATCTTTTTCTCTTCCTCCGGGATTCTTTTATCTACGTCTGCGGCCATCCTCGACCTCCACCACAGCTATTTAGTCGAAGGCATGTTCGTCTTTCAGTGTAAACTTGCTCTTTTAAAAAGTGCGACGAGTCTAGCGGGACTTTTTCTGTCCCGCAGGAGAGGATCTCGCTTCTTCTCTGGCCGTTACCCCCGCTGGCAACAGCTGTGCAATGTTAGCTAGCAGCACAGATTTCTTATTTCCCACATCCAATCTCGAGCCATATGGATGCAGTTAAGGTGTCAAGCTAGCATGAAATTGGCACGGTAAAGCGGATGTATAGTGTTTTGGCGTTCAAAATAAAAGCGCGAGAGTGTCGTAATGTAGCAGTTCTTTGATGATATTATGATCAACTTGTTTTGAATTCAAATTTTTTTTCAGCAAAATGCCAAAGTTGTTGTTGGTTACTGGCAAAAAAGAAAAACTCAATTAAACTAAGCTAAGCGCTACGATTTATTTTGAAAGTAATGACCGGAAGTATAACTTTACAATCTTTCTACTGGGTACACTGGGGCACTAGCTGTATTTAAAGACGTAGGGTTGCATTGTTCACGCAACAATGCAACTGTTTTATAATCAGTTAAATTATAAATGTATCTGCCAAATGGCTCTGTCCAAAATTTAGATTTTACTTACCTTTATTTTATGTAAGTTAATCTAGAAGCAGAGGTTTAACATTTGTTTCTTTTTATCTTCTCTTTAATGGTTAGATTTGTCTGCAATAGAATTAAACACTCCATTAAAACTATCAAACCTTTACTTTGATGCTGTGTCATAAGCGTGTGCTAAGATGTAAGAAGCTTTTTGCTTAAAGTGAAAATCTCCGCTCTTACTTTTAAACAGAAAAATCAATTCATGTATAACTTAATTAATTGGGTTATCTTAAATGCATTAACGGTTTGTATTTATTTATCTGCTGCTTTGTAATATATACATTGCGGGGATAAGGGTCCTATTCAAGAGCCAAGCTCAGCAGAGCTGGGGTTTGAACCTATAGCTATAGCTGATCTATGGACACCTCCTCACCTCAAAAGGTGGCATATGAGTTACGAAAATCCATGGGTTTATAAATGTAAATGTGTTTATCATTGATGTACAATAGGCACATTGAAAAGGTTACTCCCCCAAGCAAAAGGCACTAAAGTAGCCTTATCTCACACAGAATCTTCAACCTTTTAGTGCAATATCAATTCAGTGCCACAGGATTACAGGCCTGTGGGACGTTGTGAAGACCCTGGAAAGACTTATCGTTGCCCAGCCCCGACCCAGTCAGGCCACATCAGAATCCCCTTGAGTTTGCTTGCCAGGCCCACCTCGGAGCTGAGGGCGCCATCATCTAACTGCTCATTCTTGTCTACGCCCATCTGGGCCAGCCGGTGAGACCTGTGAGGGTCATGTTTTTCAACTTTTCCAGTTCATTCAATACCATCAGGTCAACCCTTCTGAGTGATAAGCTGACAGTGATGCAGGTGGATGCATCTCTTGTGTCCTTGATTGTTAATTACCTTACGGGAAGACCACAATATGTGCGTCTTTAACATTGTATGTCTAACAAGGTGATAAGCAACACAGGAGCACCTCCCCTTCCTCTTCACCATCTATATTACAGACTTCAGCCACTGCACAGAGACCTGCCATCTTCAGAAGTTTTCTGATGATTCTGCAGTGTTTGGATGCATCAGTGAGGGTGATGAGATGGAGTACCGGGCTGTGGTTGACTCCTTTGTCACTTGGTGTGAGCAGAATCATCTCCAGCTCAAAACACCAAACACCACTGCACTCTACAGTAAGGTGCAGAGTTGTCTCCATTTTCTGAAGCAGCTGAGGTCTTTCAATATCTGTCGCGCAATGCTCAGGAGTTTTACAAGTCTGTTGTGGCCAATGCCCTCCGCTACGCTGTTGCATGCTGGGGCAGCAGGTTGAAGGTTGCAGATGCCAACAGGCTCAGTAAACTGATCCACAAGGCCAGTGTTGTGGAGACGGAGCTGGACTCCCTTAGGGTGATGTTGGAGAAGCGGATGTTGTCCAAGATAAGGACAATGCTGGACAATACCTTTGCATGCACTCCATGACCTGCTGGCCAGTCACAGGAGCACGTTCAGTGAGAGACTGAGATTACCCAAATGCACCACTGAATGACACAGGAAATCATTCCTGCCTGTACCTGTCTCTTTGTACAACTCCTCCATCTAATGCACAGTACACACTATAGTTACACCCTTTTGCACATCCTCTACAGTAAAATAACAAAGACAAAGTTGTACAGGTTAGAGTAAAATGTAAATTATATATATTTGACCTCTGTAACATTTTTGATATGTAGAAATGAGCTAATTCTTATACTTTTAAAAGTTTGTAATATATTGTATTATACAATTAGTGTAATCTGTTACTATTATTGTCTTGGAGCAACTGTAAACCACATAGTTTCCTTAGGGTTTATTAAAGTATTCTTATTCTGATGATAAACTCCGACTTTCGCATCTGGAACCCAAAGGAGGACTAAAGAGCTACTTGTCTCTCTATGTGTGTCCATTACTCCTGAATGGCCAAGAACCTTACAGCGGTATATTCCAGTATTCTTTCTCTGGAACTTTATTTTGTGGTTTTTCTGTTGTTTTAAAGGGTACAGATTAAATGTCTTCAGTCTGTGTATCACAGTGTCCCTGAGGAAAATACTGAACCACAAACTGCCCTCAATACACGCACAGGTGTGTGTGACAAGATAAAACCACTGAAGTGCAAATATAAATGTGAACAGGTGAATGTGGGTTTTCATATACAGTCAGGTCAATAAGTATTGGACAGGTCAATATGTTGTTATGGTAGTTTTTCCTCTGTACACCGCCACAATGGATTTTACATCAAGTTAAGCTGTGATTAAAATGCAAACTTCCAGCTTTCATGTGAGGGATTGAACAAAAGTATTGCAGTGAATGCTTAGGAATTATAGCCAACTTTATACAATAATTGGACATCTGATTATTTTATTAAAAATGAATAAAAGACCTGCAGTTTATTCCAATTTTTCAACTTGCATTTGGTAGCTGGTCACTGGATTTCTCGATATGAGGCCCAGAGAAATTATCAGGGAGGCTATGATTAGCTGAAAAGCCAGAACAAACCTATCAGAGTGGGAGCTAAAACTTTAGGGTTGACCAACCTGGTACAGTTCTGCAGGGGGAAAAAAAATGCAGTGACCAGCTCAGGAACGCAAAATGCCTGAAAAACCACACAAGACAAATACAGCGGAAGATCGCAGTTACTGCCTTGCTTCAGAATCCCCTTGACGACAGCTATTTAAGTCAAGAGCGCTGTTGAGGAGGAAGGAATATCATTATGAAAGTCTACAATCAAAAGATGACTTCATGAATACAGGATTTACAATTAAGTGAAACCCACTGGTTACACTCAAGAACAGGAAGACCAGATTAGGCTGCAAAGGAAAAAAAAATTGTCGGAAAGATGAAACCAGTGAGATAAAAGTATGGAGAAAGATCTACACTAAACCACATTATTTTTCAAACATGGTAGAGACAATGTTTCGGCATGGGCATGTATGGCTGACAGTGGAAGTGTCTGCTGATAGAAGTAGCAGAATGAATTGTGAAGTGTACAAGGCTATACTATCCGCTCAGATTCAGCCAAATACTGCAAAACTGATCAAAGCTTCACAGATTCACAGTAAACGGATTCTTGCTCAACGCATACTTCAAAAGCAACCCAAGCGTTTCTCAAGACAAACATATGGGATATTTTTCAATCCGTCACCTGATTTCAACCTAACAGATTAGCTTTTCGGTAATTAAATTCAAAACTGAATGAAGAGACTCACAAACAAACAGCCGAAGGTGGCTACAGCACTGGTAACGCTCATGGACTGTAGATTTCACACAGCCATCGAGTGCCAAGAATTTCCACTGAAGCATTAAAAATACTCCTGATATTTAAAATTATGATAGTTTGCTCAGTTACTACGCCACTGAAAATAGGGGACTATGTGTGAAACCCAGTGCCTCCAACTAAAGCACAAGCACTCCAACTGTGTCATTCCCAATCCTTGTGACCTGTAAAATGAGACATGATGATATGATCTCTGTGCAGTGTTGTCTCAAGATTGTTTAATTAAGAACATTTAGAAGTTTAACGAGGTATAAGTTAGCCTGGTCGCAGACATCTGAATCACTATGCACATCTCCAATTCCCTCCATTTGAAGCAGTTACAAAATAAGGTCTACAGTACACAGCAGAATTACATTTTCTATCAATAGTCAAACTTAGTTAACTGTCCAGTATTTTAAATGAACAACTAGAGTGAAAAATAAATATTACTTTGTGTACAGAAATGCATGTTTTCCTCTATTTCTTTGTCTGGTAAGTTCAGGTACAGCTCTAACTGCACTGCTGTACTCCACATGTGTAATGTGACTTAATCAACTCCACAAAATTTATTATTGTAGAAAACATTCCACCATCCTTTGTATTTACATAGGCAGACAATGCATCTGAACTTGGTGATGGAAGTTTAACAACCACGTTTCTCACAGCTGGCTGAAAAACAAACATTATCTGTCACAAAAGGCATTTTCAGATTTGCTACTAAAGTATGTGACAACAATAACTGCAAGCATTAACTGCTAATGCCTCTTTTATGAGTTAATCAGTCCGTGGATTAATGTCAGAGGCTTTCATTCCATGTCCTCCTCTAATGGTTGGGTCTTCACTTCAACAACTTTTGGAGGGATGTATGAGCCCATGCCTGCTGCTCTCTCTGCCTCTTCCTGGGTGTAGGGCTCTTCTCTGAGCTGTTTCAGTCTGGATGGGGAAAAAAGGAGGTAAGCCATGAAACTTACATGGATAGGATTACGAGCTGTAAGTCCAAATATGTGACTGTAGAGTGGTCCGCTTACCGTTTTTTATGCACTTTAGTTTTGAAGTGCTCTTTCAAGGATCTCATATCCACAAAATATCTCCTGCAAAACAAGAAGAGCCATCACATTAAAATAAAATCTATATTTCTTAAAAATTTAACAGATGAACAGCTCACAGCATAAGAGAGTATAAGAAGAGGGCATTTCATTTTAAGGAAGCCATGAGGATCTGGAACCCTGGATTAGGACTGAAATTTGCTCGAATCATTCATCATTGGGTACGCCACCCTTTTCCAGCTGAGACCTGTGGCCTCAGACTTGGACAATACAGAATATTTCTCCATTCCAGCTTTTCATATGGGAAGATTTACTTCTTTTCCAACCCCAATGGGAAAAGTTCGGCAGAACTTAAGGTGAAATATTAAATATCTTACTAAAGAGTTTAGTAAGCAGCATATATATCAAGCAAAGTCAGTTAACAGATGGACTGTTACAGTAAACAGAGAAATACCTACGCGCAGTGTAAGCAGTAGTGTTGTGCACATCCGGTTACATCGTAGTCAACCTCCTGATGCAGCAGTTTAGCAGCCGTGTCAGGCTTCATGTCTGAGTGGATCTGATCCAGGTCTTTGGTCCTGCGCTTTGTCTTCCAGGTCTTTGCAATGTTCTTCTTCTTGCCATTGTTGTGGTTTCGGGTTTGTTTGGACTTCCCCATGATAACCAGTTGGTACTGTGTGAAACAAAAGGGTTATAAACACCCAAAATGAACGCAGACACGTCACAGACTTGTGTCAACATTAAAATCTTTCGATTGTTTCACTGATACTTCCCAGTTAATATTCTTAGAATCTATTTACAAATACCGATCAAAAATATGCGTTTAACGTCTAATCAATCGTTACTGCAGCCGATCTACATCTAATAAGCCGTCGCAGATGTTATTTTCAGACTTTGCTTACCTTCCACACGTGTGACCGAGAGAAGTGAAATCTATTTCCGGGTCAATGGAGTAGAACGATACTACGCAGTCACCTCCAGAGGGCGCGAAACTCCCGGTCTCTAACAGTGGGGCGATAATAAAAACACCTTAACTATTTTAATTTAAACGCTAACAAAATTATATTTAATCGTAATTCACTTCAGATTAACATTTATTTTCCTAGAATATCGGATTTTTACTAATAGCGCTAGCTGAGCACTTATTTGGCATGCAGTTTTAGCAAAAAATTGCCACCGAAGTTGAATAAAGTTGAATAATATTTGATCAACCAATTATTACGATTTTTTTTTTTTTGGGGGGGGGGGGGGGTACAGTGCAGTTGATTTTTTTTCTGGTCTGATAAACTGTCAGGTGTGTTATGCTCTATGTCACGCTACCTTTTGGTGCTTTGCGTAACTATCAGTGTCAGTGTACCACCCGAGGAAAACTGTAATAAAGGTTATTATTTTCAGACTGAAAAAAATAGAATAGAAAGAGATGGATGTAAGAAAAAGCACACAGAGCTAGAATCAAGCAGAATAACTGAATTACTGTTCGCATAAATTTAGAGAGCAAAGGTTATATTGGATAGAAAATAAAGTATATCGATATTGCGGTTAAAAGGAATAGCAACAACGGCCTGAATATAACAGTACAAGCCCACTTTGTATTTCTGCTCTTACCACCCCCTCTACTTACTTTTCAGGTGATCTTGGTGTCAGTTCAGCTGATGTATTTAAATATTCCGACAGCATTGAAGGGGTCGTCAGACTGCACTGCATACGCGCTGTGGTGGAGAGTGAAGATGGCGGAGAATAATGTCGAACCAGAGCACGAATGGAGCGACTGGGCCCTGGACACGGCCGAAGATACCCTAGTTGCAATGGAAAACCTGCTGGCCACACTGAGAGCTTTCGAGGACGTCCTCAGGCAACAAGAAATCTCCGTAGCGTCTTCCACGGAGTACTGCGATAACTTCTGTCAGGTAATGTGTACATGCAGCATCGAAGCTACAATTAGCCTATCGTTAGCTCACCCAGGACTGTTTTTTTCCCTCTCGCATCCCGCAAGCAGAATTACCAGCAACGATTGCTGGCCTGTTAGCTAACTGGCCAAGTTTAGGTTAGGATTACACCCAATTGCAGTACGTTTATTTTTGCGCATATTTGCATATGCTTTTGTGTTTTTTGTCATTATTATTATTATTTTTTTTACACCCAAACAACTCACGGCCGTTGGACTTATTTGCAGCTCAGTGATTTGTTGCTCAATTTGCAGATTCGAGTCGCCTTACATTCAAAGATCAAAGGTCTTTTAGCTTTGCTTTATTTGGGAAGTGATTATGGTGGCAACGAAGAAAATGTAATGCAGATGTTTGTATGAATTTATTGACACAGTTTGCAGATCATGTATTACTGCATGCCTGTGGGGCGGGGCAGCGTCGAGATATGTTTATCATAATATTTTTGTTGTTGGGGGGCGTTTAGCTACTAAGGAGTGTTGCATTTTGACCACTTTCAAGAAAATACGCTTTTCCTGTGCTCTTGAAATGTGACAGTTTCTAAACCTGCGCATCTGTCAGTTACGACAATGGAGATTTTTAGTCTCCCTTAAAGAAATCTTAGATTGGAGTCCAGTTAAAACACAAATCTAGTCATCATGGTAGGGAAATTACTGTGGCTTCCGCTTTCTAAAGGATCTGATTTAACTAAAAACTAGGTATCACTTTCATTTTTGCTGCTTAAGGGACTCTGCAAGTTTTTCAACCATTAGAGAGCTTCCCTTGAAACCTGTTCAGCAGCGTTTGAGAATGGTATAGCAGGAGTAATTCATTAGCTAGTTCACCCTGACAGGTCTTCTTTAATTAGGCTGCTTTTGAATATTTCTCAATGATTTCAACAGCTCTAACTTCCCCCTTATAAGTAAGTTGAAAGATTGTATGCGTTCCCATGTTTGGTGTTGGTAACTGTGTAAAATGACACTTGATTTAACACTAAAACTCAATTTCAGTACAGTTTTAACTTCAATCTTCCAGGTTTTCGTAAAACAAAGGCAAAAAGATCTGTGTGACTCCCAATTCCAGTCGGAAATCTCACGGATGTAATTAGTACACTGATGTAGGTCTTTAGGGCCTAGACTTTATTCCTACCTTCCTTTGAGAGGGTACTGTATATTTAGACAGAGGGGAATTAATTTAGTGCCTCTGTGGGCACGAGAACCACCTAGAAAAGTTCCTTCTATCTGGCAAATGAGACTCCTGGGATGCTGATAGCGCTATGATGATTTAATGTGTATACCCACCAACTACAAGCAGGTGACAGATGGGTGTAGATATTGACTTCTCTGTTCCTGAAGGACAGCTGATCGCTGAGTATTTGCTTGAAACGAGACCTTCCTCCCTGTTAACAGTAAATGTTGAGTTATATAAAACACCTGTTTCTTGTAGGTAATATTAATTTAATTAATTGAATTTGATTCTGTTTTAAATTGTGTGAAATTATACCAGGTTGAATCATCCCAAGAACTCAAATTTAATGGGCATATACAGTATGAGATCATGTATGTGTGATGATCATGTACTGTATGAAGTCTTCCTTCCTTTTTTTTGTTTTAAAGCAACAGTTAAGTCCCCTCAGGCCCAATCTGGAGCACAGCAGGCACACACCAGACAGTGTGTCAGCTGGGATCAATCAGGTATAGACAGGCATCTCCCTAAGGTGAAAACCTTTGATCATCCATGGCAAATGCTTCCTCTTCTGGTTGTAGTTTTTGAACATTGCTACTACATATTTCTACTCTACTTTCAAATCTGTTTCATCAACTATTTTTTTCAGTTTCTGATGCCTTTGTGTGTCTTTGCAGGCACTGATGCACTATGCTGGAAGCAGGAATTCCATGGAACATGGGCTGCCTCTTCTGGAGGTCTACTGTCTGTCCATAAACTGCTTTGCTTCAGCTCGATCCCACCTCACGGCAGAGTCCGACAGAGTGGCCCTCGTTTTGAAGCGGCTAGCTTTGTGAGTACTGTAAAATATACTGAATTATGAGAGATAAGCAATTGATTATCTCATGAGAATGTGTGCGAGGTGTCATAGGTGTCAAAGTAGTTTGAATGTCTGGTTTATGCATGGGAGCAATTTGAAATCATTTCAATATAACTTGTATAGACAAAGGCTATACGTATTGTGTGCATGTGTAATAGTCATATCACAACAAATGTCATGTCAGGTATATCAAATTCAGTTATTATGCTTTGAAACAAAAGGAATACCAACATGTTTTTTTACTAGTGTAACTTAATGTTTTTGGATACACAGCCTTTTTTTTAAAAATTTTTTTATTTTAACATTACAAAAATCAACATTCTTGGTAGTGTGTCATACAGGCTCTGAGTGTGCACTGCAAAAGGAAGTGAAAGCACCAAACAGAAAAGAAATGCAGTAGACTAGAGAAGTGACTGAGTCTGATACAAACACCTCCTGCAGGATCAGATTGGGTTATTTTGCATGCGTTCTGTGGGGGTGGGCCACCTGAGACCTGTTCACAGTAACATCCCCCCCTTGTGCCTCATTCCCCACAGCGAGAGGGATGGGGCAGGTGGGCCTGTCCTCTCTCTGTCTACTAGTTTCCAGTGAATAGCTCTTCTGAGAGTTTGTGTCTTCAGCCTTCATCTTCTCTGGTTAGACAGGAAGCTGAGGAAGCCTGTTTACTACAGTTCTATTGCAGTGCTCCATCTTTTACCACTTGCAAACGGCTTTACCTGCAGCACCACCGAGAGAGCAGTTTTACACGAACAATATCCTCACTCCTGATCAGAGAAGCAATAATACCAATTCCTCAATCAGCAGGCAAATCATTTGGTCAAAACATATTTTATATTAATAAAATTCAAGAAAGGATTGTTTTACACAGATTATAAAAACACATTTTCCTTTATTTTTTAATTTTTTATATTGTTTTCTCTACAGCTCCACTCCCCTCAGCTTCTTCAATTATTTACAAAGTCCTTAATAGCCTGCTCACTCAACTTTGTCTAATGTAGCTCAAATTCAAGCATTTTCTGTAAACTCAAGTCATTACACCTATACAGCAGGCTTGTACTGTCTGAAAATGAGATCAAGCGTTGACAATTAAAGACACCAACGCTGATTGTTTCTTTCCTAAGTGGTAATAACTATTAACCAGTGGGAGTGAGTCTAGTCTCCCTCTTTTCCTTCTGCCAATCCTCACAAGTACACTTTGCAATCTGACTAAATGCTTTATTCGTGTTCTCTATATGCCTGCCGCTATTCCGAGGCACTGATGATCCTGGCGCTTTATTCCGTTCAGCCTTCTTAACATGTCTTTTTCTGTTGGGTTCAGTTTTATTTTTTGTTTCAGTTTCGCTTCCTTTTTTTTCTTTCTTTGCTTTGCTTAATAAATTCAAAGCAGAACATGGAGTTGGGGAGAATGTACAAATGAAATATTCCAGACACGTCATTGGTCTAAGAACATTAAACAAATGTTTTTGCAGTATGTATATCAATGACTGTGTGCGGTTTTTTTTGTTTTGTTTTTTTTCCCCATATTTGAATGGGTAAAGAAACACCAATAAAGCACTCGTCCTGTAGAGTGAGCAAAGCTTTTATATGCATACAGGAGTCCAGAAAGAGACAGTACAATAGGTGGCTTTCCTAATATGAAAGACTTTTAGCTTTCTCACAACAGTCCGAGTACAAACAAAAAACTAAATATTATGGAAATCCTCCAACCGATTTGGTGCAATTGCAGCCTGCCTCTGCCCAGGGCATAAAAGTACATTTATACGTTGAAAATGGGAAAACATTGCTGAAATATAGAGGGTAAATTGCCAATGCAGGAAATAAGTGGTTTTGTAAATTGATGTAAATGTCACAGCTATGGTTTAAATCTGAGGTATGCAGTGATACTAAGTGTAAAACGTAAGCAGTGGTAACTGTAATAATAACCTCAGTATTAGTATTAGTATTAGTATTATTATTATTTATTTTTTTAAAGGCTATAGCATTATTGGTTTTGTCATTTAAAAATATTAGTTTAAGTAACTGTCATTTGCAAACCAAAACAAAAAGAAATCAAAGCTCACACTGACTGGGATTGAGTGGCTGTTGTTTGGGATTAGATGTGCTTCAAGACGTCCTTGAAGGGGCATTAAAGGTCTCGTACTACAAATGAGTTATCTAAGATATTTTGTGACTTTCTCAACATGAGCTGAACTAGGTCAGAGATTTGTGCCTTTGTGTTCATTGCTAGGACCAGTCATACGTCTTCAGCCAGGAAAGGTTTAGAGGCATGATGCGATCAAAGGTGTAGGGAGTTGTCTCATTACATGTGCACTGAAAATCCACTGTTATCCTGAATAAACTGTATTAGTCATGTGAACGGTATGTTAAACTTCTTCAGCATGCTGATTTGTTTTTAGGTTTAAAAACACTGTTTGAATGCACATTTTGTTTACCTGTTTTTGCTGCAGTTTGCAACATGTGGCCGCTTGCTTGTACACAAACTACACAACAATTTGCAATGCTAGGTTAGTGATGAAGAAAAGCATACATTTCTGGTTAGGAGGGATGCACATACTTGTAAACATGGAATGCTGTTGTTGTTTTGTTTTTTGGGAGTTTTATTTTTATTTTTTTCTTGAGGTAGCTAAAAGAATCTGTGGGCAGTCACAGACTGCCAGTCTACATGTAGAGGGTGTGCTTTGTCAGATGGAGTGGGCTACTCTTGCTTGTGTTG